CGTCTTGGGTGGCCCTACACAGTATAGCTCATGGCTTCACTGGGTTACGCAAGCCCCTTCCCCACGACAAGGCAGGGATCCATGAAGGGGCTTTAGTCATTGCATATTTTTTAATATGTTACTGTTTGAAGGCACGTTAAAATATTTTGGAGTGCTTTCAGTTATGTGATTTTAAAATCTGGAAAGTAATGACCATAAAGTGTTGCTGCTGTTGCAGTAATCCAGTTAGGACCAATTTGTATGTTTTCAAAGCTGCTTTACTTCCAAAAGTGACCTGGGGCCCAGAAAAATATATTTATGACTGCTTGCCTTTTTTCAGACTAAAAAGCTCTAAATATTATTTTTATTAAAAGACTTTTTACAATAATAAAAGACAAACATACAGTATAAATTTATAGAAAAGAAAAAAAGCTCTAAATATTATTTTTATTAAAAGACTTTTTACAATAATAAAAGACAAACATACAGTATAAATTTATAGAAAAGAAAGAGAGTAAAGAAAGATATAAAACAAGTAAGTGAAAAAAGAAAGTAAATGGAGAGAAAAAAAAGAAAAAATATATAAAGAAGCGGCTTCCAATCTTTACAACAGTTACAAATTAATTTATCATCTCTCTTCCCTCTTTAAAATTACATCATAATTCTCTTTTTCCTATATTCTGCCCTTTCTAATCATCAAATCCATAAGTCACTAATTCATTTTTTTTCTGTTTTCAGTAAAAAGTCCATGAAGGGTTTCCAACAACTAATAAATGTACTTCTTGTCTTCTCTAATCAAACAAGTCAATTTTGCCATTTCTGCAAATTCTGTCTTTACCAGCTATTCCTCCATTGTGGGTATTTCAGAATCTTCCCATCTTTCTGCATAAAATAATCTTGCTGCAGTTACCATATACAAAAAAGAATCTTCCATGAGTCTAGTTGACTATCCATAAGTCCCAGAAATAAATCTGGTTTCAGCTGAATATGAATGTTTGCATCACTATGTGTATTTGTACCCAAAATTTTCTAGCTTTTTTACAAATCCACCATGCATGGTAAAATGACCCTTTGTGTTTTCCACATTTCCAGCATTGATTAGAAGTACCTTTAAACATCCTAGGCAATTTATCTGGCATCATATACCAATGGTACATCATTTTATAGAAATTCTTTCTTAAATTACAGCATAATGTACATTTCTATCATTTCAACCACATCCTCTCCCATTGAGCCATCTGTATGTTATAACCAAAATTCTTGACCCACTTTATCATGTACTCTTTAACTTGTTTGTCTTCCATTTCAAATTTCAACAAAAGCTTAAACATTTTAGCTATTGCATGTTCATCATTTGTACATAGTGCAATTTCAAATTCTATTTTATGTAATTTAATCCCAGTTGTCTTTTTATCTACACTGAACCTTTCTCTCAATTATGCATACTGTATGAAAACCATTGAAAACTAAATCCTTCTGCAGTCAATTGATCTCTTGATTTCATTTTAAGTTCTCCATGTTCCTGTATTAATAAGACTTGATATGTTAACCATTTCCCTTTACCCACTGTTTCTTTTCTATAAAACGCTTCCTGGGCTGAAACTAACAGAAGCATTTTTGGACAGAAATTGGGTTTATATTTATTCCATAGTCTCAGTATAGCATTCCTAACATAATTATTTTTAAAATCTACATTAACATTTAACTTGATCATACCATAAAAAACCATGCCGCCCAAAACTCAGGTTGTGTGCTTCTAATTCTAACATCCTTTTATTTCTCAAAAGCAGCTACTCTTTCATCCAAACTAAACAGCAGGCTGCAAAATACAATTTAAAATCAGGTAATCCCAATCCTCCTCTTTTCCTTTGCATCTTTGAGAATTTTAAATTTAACTCTTTGTTTTTTCCCTTGCCATATAAACCTGGATATATCTTTCTGCCATTGCTTAAATGGTGCATCATTTGTCAAAACAGGTATTGTTTGAAAAAGAAACATCGTTCTAGATAATGCATTCATTTTTATCACAGAGAATCTCTCCAACAATGATAACTGTTATTTTTCCCATCTTAACATATCCTTTAAGTTAATTTCAGCGCCCACATATCTGCCATGATCATCAACTAATATCAATTCTGGCTGTAGTTGTGGGTTTATATACAAAACAACTAAATTTCTCTTACCTGACCCTGCCGAAATAAATTCTTTACCAAATTTTTATGAATGAAATATTTTTATCCTTTTTTCTAATATGTGTTTCTTGTAGACAAATTACATCTTTTTTCAGTTTTTTCAAATAATGAAATAATTTTCTTCTTTTTTGAGGGGCGCTTTCTCCATTTATATTCCATGTTAGGCATTTAAAATCCATATTTATGCTAAGAATTTGGAAAAGTCAGTGCCTGTAGTGCCTAACGTTAGTGGTCTCTTCCTCAGTCTCTTGTTGTACCTGTTTCATAGTTCATTCCACCACATTTACTTGCCTTTTCTCCATTTCTTCTTCAGATTTTTCAAAAAAATATCTTGCCTTTTGGACTGATTTAAGTTGAAACCTCTGATGTTTAAAAGTAAAAATCACACCTTCCAACAGAATAGTATCTTTGTCTGTTTGAGCTTGTATCCATTTGTAACTTTCTTAGATCAAAATCTTATTTAGCTTTTTGCTGTTTATTTCAAATTCTTGTACATTCTTAAGCTTGTAATTTATTTATTTATTTATTTATTATTTATCTAATAGACTTGTCCCTGCCCATCTCCCCACAATGGGGGACTCTGGGTGGCTTACATCAAATTAAAATCATAAATACATGATTAAAAGTTATAAAAAACCACACAGAGATAAAAAGGCTAAAAATCCAAGAGGCCGATAGAGGCCATACCAGGCCGCTAAGGGGCTAGCCAACCCCATTTCTGACATCCTCCCTCCCCACCCCAGGCC